CCCAAAACCCCAAAACCCCAAAACCCCAAAACCCCAAAACCCCTTTATTAAAGCTTGTTAATGAAATATTTAATTAAAGCATATCAATGGAATATCAAAAGAAGGATTCAGTATGCAATATCTCACATTTTAGAACCTAGATGAAGGGTGTAATCCCCTGAGCAAATGAATGGTTAAAACTATTAATCCAAGGAATAACTACTCTCATATTAGTATTGAAAAACTGCATGTATTAATTATTTCAAAACCATTTGACTGGGAATGTCAAGAACAATTTTTGAAGGTCATTTTGTGTCTGCAGAAAAGTGGCATCAAGACTTATACGAATCAAGTGAGCCTTGAATATGCAATCAAGGATGAAATGATTGAAAACTATCGAGACAAGTCTTTAATTGATAAAATAGATTTTGACTCCGTTCATATTTTTGAGGAAGAAACCAATATCATTAATAGAGTCATTACTCTTGGAGGAGATGGAACAATTCTGTTTGCAATTAAGATGTTTTATAACACAAGAGTTCCTCCGATAATTAGCTTTGGCCTTGGATCCGTAGGATTTTTATGATGCTTTGATTCCTCTGAATTGGAGAGAGCGCTCTTTCATTGATTACTTAAGAAGAGAAAACGCAAGTCTACAATCAACCATGTAACAATTGATCTTGTAGAAAATCAATCTGGAAATGATGTTGTCAAATATGATCCTTATCTACAATACAGAGCAAGATTAAAAGTAACAGTTAGCCCTTGATGTGAAAGAGGATCTATTAAAGTAAATTCTAGTATTTTCCCTGATAAGTACAAGGAGCTTCCTTGAGGCTCAATTTTGAACGCTCTAAATGAATGTACATTGGAAACAGGATCGTTCAATCAAATGTTTACTGTTGATCTTTATCTAAATGAAAACTTTTTAACAAGAGTGACGGCATCAGGATTAATAATATCAACTCCAACTGGATCAACAGCTTACAATATGTCTGCTGGAGGTAGCATAGTTAATACAGAAGTGAAAGCTATTTGTGTGACTCCTTTGAATCCTTTAACACTTTCTTTCCGACCTCTGATTCTTCCTTTCGATTGAAAGATAACAATAAAAGTTCCAGAGGGAGCAAATGATAACCCCTTTAATGGATGAATAGATGGAGACTTTAAATTCCAACTCATTGATGGAGATGAACTTGAAATAATAGGATCAGAATTTCCAGTTCCTTTTGTTACAAATGAGAAACATGACCCAATAAAAAGTTGGATGAATCGGCTAGCCTCCACAGTGTTGAGCTATTAAATTTAGTGACATATCGTAATATTTTTACTAAATATAGCCAATAATATGAATACCTCCCGGGGTTTTGGGGTTTTGGGGTTTTGGGGTTTTGGGG